ACTAGAGAGAAGGGTTTTGTGACTGAGTAGGCTTGGCTAGGTGGTCATGTGACTGGGTGAGAATGAGTGACATCAAGTTGGTCATGCCCACCCAGATTTTGTGGCTCCCTGTGTTGTTTTTTTCCCTGCGGGAAACTGGCCCCAATAGCTCTTTGAGTGTTTAAGATTGCAGAGCCCTGATCTAGAAGAAGAAGAATTGAGTATATAAATAAATAAAAGAATAATGGATGTATTATATAAATACTTATGTAACAATATTTGAATTGTTAGTTAACCAACAAAGTTGTACACGTCCATGGTATGCAGACTTTCAACCAACTGTTCAGACTACAAAGCCGTTTAAGACCGACCAGTTTGCAAACTATCGCTGTGGTTCCAATCTGCATCAAACAAAATGTATTAATGGATTATGGTTTCCTGTGCCACGGTGTGAAGGTATGGTTTGCATGCTATGTACAAGTTTATAGTTTCTTCAATAGGATGCTGTTAATCATCTCTAAAAAATAAAAGTGGGACACACCTGAGGACAGTCTTCCTACATAACATCTTTTGATGGCACACAGTTTCTTCTGAAAAGCTTCTTTATAATCCCATGAACTGTGCATGCTTTGTCTAATCTGATGCTGCAGTGAGACAGTGAATGTATCCATTTCAAAATAAAAGTTCATTTTGCAATGTAGAAAAAATCCTCAACAATCCAAGGATAAAAGGAAATACACATTAGTCTTAAAATCAGTTGGTTTCTTCCTTAGCAGCCATTTTGTTTCCTTTACAGCAGCCACTCCACCTCAGTTGTAGCACACAGATTCCTAGCCTGCATTGGACAGCATACTTTTGCCCATTTTTCCTCATTAGGCAAATTCAATGATAAAATTTCATTTCTCACATCACAAAAGTTCTTTGCTTTGAATCTTTCGTGTCTTAGGCAACCTAAGAGAATTTACACAGAACAAAAGCATGCAAATCTAGTACGGAATTCATCTTTGACTTTTGGTACTTGCATGGAGACATCCATACAGGTTTGTTGGCACAGTAAAAAAAATTCACTGGAAGAAGTTTCAGAATTTCTGCTGCTTAAGAGGACCATCAGATCATTACATCGCTCCTAGTTAATTCCAACATATCTTCATTCAAGAAAAATTATTCACTTTTTTCTATTTATTTATACATATATTGTTGGAAAATAATACATACAGTATATTCTGTCCTTCCATAAATCTTTCCAAGTCAGT